TCGACTCTATATATCTCTCCTTAATAACTCATTGTTGACCTCATTTGTGAATGGACTGCCCAAAGACTAAGGCACTAGGCAGTTTTTCTTCTTGGTAACTACTCCAGTGATTAAGGTTACCATGATGCTTAAAAAATAGAATCCATCATTATCCTATATATAGCCTTATCTCGTGATGTTTAAGGATGAGATAAGACATTTGATGGCGTGATGTTTTCAAATTTGGTCATTGTTGTCAAGAATTATTGGTCTTATTTGTAAGCAGGTAAGACCTGTGATTATACTCCTAAACTTCAAATCATAATGGAATTGAAAAAAAATGGACATGGTTCCATTGGTTTATAAGAACCAAATGAGCATTTAAATTCAAAGCACTAGAAATTGCTACGTCATTTCTACCCAATTTTAGTTTGGTTAAACAACTTGTGGTTTGAAATTTAGTCACTTAAGCGGAAACTTGTTGACTTCTTATGTTTCTCTAGCTCCTTTTACTAACAATCTGGTAAAGATTGAAATAAACCATATATAGCTTTTTTAGGGCCTGTTTGGATACCCATCTCTAAACTCTTGAGGTCTAAAAGCTTTAGAGCACTTTAGCTCACTTTTGAGCTCTAAAGCTCTAATATGAGGTGGGCTAAAGTTTAGAGCTAAATTTAGGCCACTTGTTTGGAGCTTTAGCTCTAAAGTTTAGAGGAGAAAATCCAAACAGGCCCTTATATATTTGTGAATCTTGAACCAGCAATGCATTAGGGGGAAGATCATTGGATAGCCTCAGCCTGAGGTATTTTTTTATCCACAGGCAAACCCCAAGAAGGAACTACTGACATCACCATCAAAGAATATATAGCAGGGCATAACATACATTTTTTCAATATAACAGCATGCACATCGTAGGTAGAGGTCCTATCTATGTATGGGTGTTGGGCGTTCGACAGCGATCAACCGACGCCTACCATTCATGATCCTCCACTCCACCAGCAGCGCTGCACGGTGCCATGGGGGTGGCCACCAGATCAAAGAAGGGAGGCCAAAGAGGAAGAGCTCCTCACCGACCAGATGAACAGCCTCCCCAAAGGTGTCCTCAGCGACATCGTCTCCCTTCTCACCACCAAAGACGGGCGCCCACACGCGGTTCTGTCCTTCCGCTGGCGCCACCTATGGCGCCTCCGCTCCCTCAACCTCGAGGTCTGTGATGGCCCAGCTGTCCATGGTGTCCCTGCAGCCAGCGAGGTCTCCCGCATCCTCTCCTCGCACCCGAGCCCCGACCACTGCTTCTCTATCTCTTACAGCCAGTACCACTCCATCTTCACCACGAACCTAGGCGGCTGGCTCCATTCCCCTACCCTCAACAAGCTACAGGAGATCCAGCTCGACCACATTATCTGGGTTCCAAAATCAGGAGTACACCGCTTCTTGTCCACCCTTCGTGTCGCCACCTTCAGGAGCTGCATTTTCCAGGATCGAAACAATGCCAGCGGCACACTTCACTTGCTGCTTCTCAAGCAGCTGAGCCTTGTGGATATCGTCATCTTGGAGAACTACCTCCATGCCTTGCTCGCCACCTGCCCTGCCATGCAGAACTTGCTGCTATGATGTAACTGGGACTTCCCTTGTGCACAGATCATGTCGCCTAGCCTCATAAAGCATCGGTGTGCATTCTGGCTGGAGAAACTTTAATAAGCTACATTAATTCATCATCAAGGTTGCCCCATGTCTAAAAAGATTGCTATTTTTGGGAGGAACTAACATTGATGTGTTGGTAATCCCTGTGCCAAGATTACCTATTTTGCGGAAACTACGTAATAATAATTTTCCTAGGTTTCACTCTGGTACAACAACTGTTCAGGTATGGGCATTGTTGCGGGTTCGTATAGTACGTAACCATGGCGAGCATCATGGTTGTTGGTCCAAAGTCGATGTGTGGGTCTCCGGGGGCTCGGACACTCAAAACATGAAAGGGGCACAACTCGATTTATCCTGGTTCTAGCTTCCGAGCCCTACGTCCAGCGGTATAGCGATCTTCGTGTTATGAATGCCCAATTGGGGAATTACAATAGTGAAAATCCAAAGAGTGGTAGGGGATTGCTTGGTGCTATCGTAGGGTTTGTCGGTGTTCTTCCTAGCTGAGTTGGGTTTCGATCTGTCTATCATCTGGTCTCCCCCTTCTATAGGGAGTTTTGCTCCCCTTATATTCCGAGGTAGACACAGTGTATAAGTTGGTTTGGGTTCTAGCCTATGGTCTATGTACCGGGTGCATGAACCCTTTGCTGCAGCGTTGCTGGATGTGGCCTTGTCGCGTAGGGAGGAGCCGACAGTGCCGCAATCGCCTCCTGACGCCTCTGTGTCCGTTATGGCGCTTGACCATCAGGGGTTGCCTGCTGTGGCACAACCTCCTACCGGGTGAGCCTTATCGAGGCTTCCTTTGCTAGCAAGTAGACTCAGCTTGGAGGGGCTGACGAGTGCGCCCTGGAGCCCTTTGCCATTGGAGTTGGTGAAGTCCCTTGTCCTGTTGTGTCACGCCGTTTCCGTGGCCCTGCCGAGAAAGTGGTAGACTGGGCCTCGGGCCTTTTGAATGGGCAGATGACGATCATCTCCATACCTAATAGACTTCGGGCGTGTGGCTGGTTCTTGAACAGCCCCACCCGTAGCTCGGGCATCGATTACTGCCCGAGCACTGGCCTGGGTGTGCGCTGGGTGGAAGCCAGGCTCTGGCTACCATTGCTCGGCGGTCTGAGGCCGTGGTCGAGCCCCCGAGCCTCGAGTATTGGCAGCGGGGGCACTCAGCCTATCCCTGACTCCATCTGGAGTGTACGTACTCGCGAGCATACACGATGGGTATAGCCCCTGAGCCCCCGGGTGATATGTAGGATCGGTCAGAGGGTACATCGATCGGCTTCCTCTTTCCTGGAGACTAAGCATACCCCTATGTGTTAGACACTCGTCAGCAGCTCCCGAGCCCTTCATGGCCTTCCGGGTTGAGTCTATGATGGCGACGAGGGGTTGAGCCTGATCCTCTGATAACTTGATCAAACGGGATGCATTGGCTCATGGCAGACTTTGGTGGGACAGCCTTGTGGGGGTGCCCGAGCCACCAGGCTGCGCGCGACATCTGAGTCGGGTGATGCTGGGATCGAGCGTTGTGCGGGAAAGCCTGAGCGAGGGCTTGGTCGACTCGTCGGCGGGTTGCTGGCGCTGAGCCGTGGGTCGAGCAACGATAGGGCTTCGAAGCCTCGGCTCGGTGCCAGTCCGTCGCCTGTCTAAGGGCTCGGTAGTAGGCCTCCTTGGCTCAGGCCGCACTTCGCGATGGCCGGGAGTGCTCTCTATGCTCTAGGACTTGGTGGCCCTCGGTGGGCACCATTGTTCAGTGTCCCTTTGCTCTTATCTCTTCGGCCATGCCCAGGAACGGTCACAGGGCGCCCATTGGTCGGGCCCTGGAGTTCCTGCAGGAGGGGCTAGCGTAGCCCTCGAGGCCGTTGTGGAGCCTGTTTGTAGTTAGGAGATTTGATATATTTTTGGGCATAGTAAATATAAACTGACAAGAGAAGCAAATATGGTAGTTTTTTTTTGCAACAAGTATTAAGCTATTCAGCTTTGCTCAATAGTAAATTTGTGAAATCAAGAAGTGTGAATTATTTTATCCATTGTTGTTTATCTGCGGAGAAACAGGCAGCAGGCCTGTAGGTGTATAAACGTTGTCATCTACTTTGGCTATTCTGTATGGTATAGGAGCTAGCTTTCATTTCTGTTAGCATTCTAGTACTAAAATAGTCATGCACCAGGACATGCAAAAGCCATTATACCACTGAAAGTCCTTGTACTGCTGTTTGCATTAATTGAATAGCCCAAACATAGCAAACTGCAAGCCTGTGTTGCCAATCCAACCATCTATGACTGCACTACTGTTGTTATAACATACTGAAATCATTCCAAATTTTGTGCACCAAGAATGATTCAAAACAACTAAAAGCATGCATGTTGTGTCTGAATCTTACATAAAAAGCAGCAGTTAGTCAGTTAGCTTGGAAAGAACAACTACTGGTGAAAAATATACAAATCACTTTTCCCCTGACATCTCTAATTTTTCATCAAAGATCTATCTGGATTCTGGCCCCAAGTCATGCACTGCAAAAGACAACATGGAGTCTTTCAGCAAATGAAAAACATTTGCGGCATAGATGGGCATAGCTTATTGTTGTAATATACAATTCCTGCTTGCACATACATAAAACAACACAGCCCTTGCCATTTTGCCAGATATCGGTTGAAGCCAATTTGTGATTTAAGTTTTAACAACTTTTACGTGATCCTAAAAGTCATGATGACTTTGGCCTTGGCGATCGATCTGTTTCCAGCCTTCATGCACTTCTTGGTGGCAGTGAATTTGTTCTGGGTGACAAATTTGTTTTCAATATTCCTTCAACTCTTGCTGTTGGCACATCAAGGATCAAAGAATTTGCTTGATTTACATGTCAAATTGAGCAGGCATTTAGCCTTGTTTTTCGTATAAGAAGCTTACAAGAATTGAGATGCAGATAGCTGTCAAGAACCAGAGTAATCTGACAAGAAAAGAACAGCAAGAGGTGAAGAACAGAGAGGGGAATTGTTGCCTGAGCTAGAATATAACTGAAGGATTTAAGTGCAGGACAGTTTAGCTTCTGAAGAACAAGAAAGCAAGCAAGAATTGGGATTCAGAGTTATGCAAACGCTGCCAAAAAAAGAAAGCAAGAACCGAAGAACAGAGGGGGAAGGAATTGTTGCCTGGACTGGTTCCACTTTCTTCTTCGTCGATCAGGCATACCTTCATCAGATTATATGATCGAAGTATTCAGCGCTGGCCTGAAACGTACTGAATGGACTCAAGATTTGTTGAAGTTTCGAGATATCAGATTGCAGTGGGCCCAGCCTTGAATACCCTACGTACATAGTATATTATTGGAACATTGTAGTGCTCCAGCCTCGTATTGTATTGTATCCCCGATCCACCAGTCCACCACCGGCCGATGCGCCGCCATCCCTCTCCCGTCCCCCGTCCCTCCATGGCCATCGGGGTGGTCACGAGAGCGCAGAGGCGGAGGCTGGAAGAGGAAGAGCGCCTCGCCGACCGGATCAGCAGCCTCCCCGACGGCGTCCTCGGCGACATCGTCTCGCTCCTCCCGACCAAAGCCGGCGCCCGCACGCAGGTGCTCTCGTCCCGCTGGCGCCACATCTGGCGCTCTGCTCCTCTCAACATCGACCTCCATATTGATGACCCTGAACGGCACATCCCTGTCAAGGAGATCTCACGCGTGCTCTCTGTGCACCCGGGCCCCGGACGCCGCTTCTCAATCCCAAGGGGCTACCTCCACTGGATCGACGATCGCGCCGCCACCATGGACGGTTGGCTCCGTTCCCCAGCCCTGGAGAACCTCCAGGAGCTCGACTTAAATTCGTACAGCCTTCAACACTGCTCGGCTTCGCAGCCGCTATTGCCACCATCAGTGCACCGCTTCTCGTCCACCCTTCGTGTCGCCTCCTTCAACTGCCTCTCCTTCCCAACTGGAACCAATGCTAAAGCTCTCCACTTGCCGCTTCTCAAGCAGCTGACCCTCTTGCAAGTCAGCATCTCAGAGAGTTACCTGCATGCCATGCTCGCCGGCGCTTCTGTCCTGCAGAGCTTGCTCTTACTTGACAGCTTTGGCTTCCTCGGCTGCAAATAGTGTCCCGTAGCCTTACAAGCATCGGTGTGCGATCTCGGTGGGAAGGTATCAAGCTAGAACACCTCCTTCTCATGGACGCGCCATGTCTGCAGAGATTGCTAGTTTTTGAAGGAACCAATAAGATGGACATCTCGGTGATCTCTGCACCAAGATTGGAAATTTTTGGAAAACTCTTTGACAACTTTCCCAAACTTCAGTTTAGCACCACGAATTTTCAGGTACAGACATCATTTTTTACATTAATTTCACCATACTTCATAAGGTTAGTGACCTAATTGCCTTTACTTGATCATGGTGTGTTAATTCTGTGCTTAACTCAGGAATCAACCACTGTTAGCGTGACGATTGTGGTACACAGTTTGAAGGTTCTAGCTTTATCTGATGCGAAACTTTCCTTGGATGTGGTTATTGACTTACTCAAGTGCTTTCCGAACTTGGAGAAGTTGTACATTGAGGTGATTCCCTGTACAAGAGTGTGCTTTTTGCGTTTTTTGTGCCTGTGATTATATCGATGATTGTTCTAAAGCTAGGTTGACCATTGACGCCACTTCTGTCTTCACTTTGTTTTTTTTAGGCAACAAAGGCTTCTGTGGAAAATGCAAGGTATCACAAATGCCGGAAACTTATTGGCACCCTAGACATCCGCCTGAGGAAAATTGTGCTAGGAAACTATCAAGGCAGCAAGTCACATATTAACTTTGCCAAATTCTTTGTGTCATTTGCGAAAGTGTTGGAGTCAATGAGGCTTGAGTCAGATGTTGGAAACATTAGCAAAGCCTGGATTGCAAGACAACGTAGGCTGCTCAATATCAACAAGAGGGCTTCTAGGGGTGCACGGTTCAATTTTGTACCTCCTAAAATATTCACCGGTTCACTTGACGATCTGCGTGCTGAACAAGTACATGATCTATCAACGACCGACCCTTTCAAACAATACTGTAATTTGCATTGTTGTGATGAGTACATGACCTATCAAAGGTTTCATCAGTAGGTCTAATAGCACCAATGAATACATTTGTTTTGAGGTGGGACAAATATCCATCAAGGTTTAGTCACTTTGCATTCTGTTGGTATTTGTTATCTCTTTCCTAGAATATTGTAATTTATCAATTGATTTGGTGCTGTTGAGATGCCCATTGTGTGAAAAGATCTTATTAGTAAATTTCCTCTGCGGGCTGTCTTACCCCTCACAGGTCGAGTTTTTTTTTTAAAGTAGCCCTCATAAAATTACTTCAGTATTTTGGAAAATAAGTGAAAGTACTTCAGGCATACAACATATGGATCTATATTTAGGACAATACAGATTCCCTCTAACATTGGAACAATTGATCTACTTGAGTAAGACATGTCTCAATTTGATTCTTTTCTCGAATGCAGCATATATTGTGATACATGATATATCTAACAATTGCCACAGGGTTCTAACCTATTTTGCTTTGCTCAAGTACTTGCAAGGCTGCAATGCAACACTGCTTGAATGCATTCAATTATATTATCACTCTTTCCAACATGTCCCGCCGATATATGAGATCCAAACTAATTTTAAGAGAATTATTATAAATTTTGACGCATTTTGCAATGAACAGATTCTGCATGAGAAAGTTAGTTACCTTATATATAACTCTATTGTTTCCTCTGTGGTAACAGTGGTGGCCATAATTTTAGCTTTGGAATTTTCTAAAAACACATCCCAAAAGTCAACCCTTTCATACAAAAACCAGTTCTCGAATTGATGACCACCATACCAATCACTATGTATGGTGCTAAGCGAAGACAACATCCCAGTCCACTTGGTCCACAGCATCAACTCCTGCTTCTGATTCCTCTGATCCCTTCCCCAATTTGCACTCCAACCTCTCAAAAACTAACTCAGTTTGTTAGAGATAACATTCCAATGATCCAGAAAATAGTATTTCTGTTGAGAAGTCCATTTACTTAGAACCCACTCCTTAAAGCCGTCTTGCAAGACCCTAGAAGGCTCAAATCTGAAAATGTTCAACCTCACTTTTCTCTCTACTTCTGTCGTCTCCACCAACAATGGTTATGGTCAGACCCAATTCGGGTTAAAGATTATCATCTCCTTTTACTATATAGGCTATCATGTACGATATAGGGGCTAGCTTTTTCATTTTTGTTTAGTTAGCATTACACTAGTGAAACAATCCTGCACCAAGACTTGCAAAAGTCATTCTCCCACTGAACGATAACATTTCTAAGCATTAACCATAAAAGGATACATGGCCCTTCCACTGCTCGTGGCACTATTTTTTTCTTTCAAACGCTCTTCGCACTAGGCCCAAACCACTAACCAATACCAGCCTATGTTGGCAATACACCCATCAATAACTTCAGTACTACTGTCCTACCACCCTAAAAAATAAGCAGCCATTCTAAGTTTTCTGTACTAGCAAAGATTCAGAACAAACAGAAGCATGTTATCAGGATCTTACATAGGAAATAAAAGCTGTCAGTTAGCTAGGAAAGAACAACTAGTATTTCCTCCATACTGTAAGTCTGTAATATAAGAGATTGATGAGTTGCTGTAAGTTAAATTCATCATTGCAGTATTGATATGTGCCGTGTGACTCTGTGAAGGAGCAATTAGTATGAAATCTGCATTATGAATCCAACCATGGTATTTATTTAGGAAAAATATTCAGTGCAAGACACGTCATTGGTGGAATCATGAAACCACTTAGAAAAACATACTTAGAAATTTCCAAAGAAATTGAAACAATTCACATCCATAGTGCATCTGTCATGGTAGGACGCACATCACGGGCCCTGTGGCGCCTTGTATATGTGCGTCCTACCATGACACGAGCTTCTGGACGAGCTCCATGGCGCACGGTTTTTCACCAAGCTCGACTTACGCTCAGGGTACCACCAGGTGCGGATGTGTCCTAAAGATGTCCACAAGACGGCGTTTCGCACCCACGAGGGCCTCTACGAGTTCCTGGTCATGCCGTTCGGCCTATGCAACGCTCCAGCAACCTTCCAGGCCCTCATGAACGATGTCCTACGACCCTACCTCCGCCGCTTTGTACTTGTTTTCTTTGATGACATTTTGGTTTACAGCAAGACATGGGCGGATCATCTTCGACATCTCCGTACAATCCTCAGTGAGCTTCGCCGACATGTCCTCTTCGTCAAGCGCTCCAAGTGTGCGTTCGGGGTACCCTCGGTTGCCTACCTCGGCCACACTATTTCCGAGGCGGGAGTGGCCATGGATCCGTCCAAGGTGCAGGCCATCCACGATTGGCCGGTCCCTCGCTCGGCGCGGGCAGTGCGTGGCTTCCTCGGTTTAGCGGGTTACTACCGCAAATTCATCCACAACTACGGCTCTATCGCAGCGCCACTCACTGTTCTTCTCAAGAAGGAGGGTTTCTCATGGAGCACAGAGGCTACCGCGGCTTTCGACGCACTTAAAGCCGCGGTGACATCTGCACCGGTTCTGTCTATGCCAGATTTCGCCAAGAGGTTTGTCGTCGAGTGTGATGCGTCCTCTCACGGCTTCGGGGCTGTTCTCATACAAGAAGGCCACCCTATAGCCTTCTTCGATCGGCCTGTATGCGCCGCACACGAGCATCGGCGGCATCTGACGCGAACTCATCGGATTGGTCCAGCTATCGACATTGGCGGCCGTATCTTTGGGGTCGTCGTTTCTCTGTCAAGACAGACCACTCAGCTTTAAAGTACTTGTTGGATCAACGCTTTCCACCATCCCACAACATCATTGGGTGGGCAAACCGCTGGGCTTTGATTTCTCTGTTGAGTACAAGCCGGGGTGTCAAATGTCAGTGGCGGATATGCACCGCCCGAAGGGACACCGAGGATGGGCGCCACTGGCTCTTTCAGGCCCCGCTTGACTTCATTGATCGGCTCCGGCAATCACAGCTCGACGACCCGGCACTTGTCGCCCTTCAAGCGGAGATCGCCTCCGGGGCGCGTTCAGCACCCTGGACTGTTGTGGACGGCTTGGTACAGTTCTCTGGGCGCCTGTACATTCCGCCTGGATCTCAGCTCATCCAGGAAATCATGGCTGCGATACATGAGGATAGTCATGAGGGTGTCCAGCGAACTCTACATCGGCTTTGGCGCGACTTTCACTTCCCTAATATGAAGCAGCGTGTGCAGGACATGGTACGTACATGTGGTGTTTGCCAGCGATACAAATCAAACATCTCCACCCGGCTGGTCTTCTGTTGCCACTACCAGTACCACAGGGGGTTTGGACGGATGTTGCACTCGACTTTGTGGAAGCTCTTCCCCGCGTTCGTGGCAAGTCAGTAATACTCACAGTGGTGGATCGATTCAGCAAATACTGCCATTTTATACCTCTGGCACATCCATACACGGCTGAATCAAGAGCCTGGCTTTCTTTCACTGACATAGTTCGGTTACATGGCGTTCCTCAGTCTATGGTGTCTGACAGGGATCCGGTGTTTACATCAACATTTTGGCAGGAGCTCATGCGTTTGTTGGGGACCAAGTTACATGTGACAATGGCCTTCCATCCTCAATCTGTTGGCCAATCCGAATCAGCAAATCGTGTCATCGTGATGTACCTCAGGTGTCTTACGGGGGATCGGCCTCGCGCAATGGCTCGTGGTTACCTTGGGCAGAATATTTGTTCAACACAAAGATACCAAACGTCGTTGCAAGACACTCCTTTTCGTGTGGTGTATGGCCGTGATCCACCTTCCATTCGGTCCTATGAGCCGGGTGACTCCAGGGTCCCTGCCGTTGCCAAAAACATGGCTGAACGGACAGAGTTTCTTGCCGATATTCGTTGCAGGTTGGAGCAGGCACAAGCAACACAGAAACGGCACTACGATCGCGCACACAGGCAAGTCAGCTATCAGGTCGGTGATTGGGCTCTTCTTCGTCTTCGTCACCGGCTGGCCTCATCGCTTCCTCGGCAGAGGTGGCAAGCTCAAGCCACGGTTTGTCGGGCCCTACCGTGTCACTGAACTAATCAATGAGGTGGCTGTCCGACT